ACTAGACTATAGACTAGACTATAGACTAGACTATATACTAGACTATAGACTAGACTACTATACTAGACCATAGACTAGACTATAGACTAGACTATAGACTAGACTATAGACTAGACTATAGACTAGACTATAGACTAGACTATAGACTAGACTATAGACTAGACTATAGACTAGACTATAGACTAGACTATAGACTAGACTATAGACTAGACTATAGACTAGACTATAGACTAGACTATAGACTAGACTATAGACTAGACTATAGACTAGACTATAGACTAGACTATAGACTAGACTATAGACTAGACTATAGACTAGACTATAGACTAGACTATAGACTAGACTATAGACTAGACTATAGACTAGACTATAGACTAGACTATAGACTAGACTATAGACTAGACTATAGACTAGACTATAGACTAGACTATAGACTAGACTATAGACTAGACTATAGACTAGACTATAGACTAGACTATAGACTAGACTATAGACCAAACTATAGACTAGAAGATATACTAGACTATATACTAAAATATACTAGACTATATATTAGAAAATAGCCTACAAACTGGTCTATTGACTATGCGGACTACTTACCAAAAGTTTATAAATTAGAAAAAGTATTGATAATATTGTGTACTAAAGTACTAAATTTTCCATGCCTGGTCTGCAATATAAACATTATATGGTGAGCACAGTATTGTTCGAAAACTTAGCAACTTTTGATGAGAGTGTAATTTAAATTAAATAAATTTCCAGTATATTCTATTTAAAAAGATAAAATAACTCGATTGGTATTTTAAATGTTTCTCTCATTTACGAGAAAAAGGAGTTTAAAAAAAAAAAAGAGAAGACTCAGGCATAAATGCCTATAAATACATAGACCGTGTTACTTTCTTTAAATTTAATATATAAGTATCTGATTTAACTGTCAGCAAAAAGTTTCTAATGGTTCGTGCAATACTGTATCAAAATAACGTTTTTTATATTTAATTTAACATTTTTTTTAGTTGAACTTATCTTTTTGACAGAATATATTGATTTTGGAACAATAAATTACCAATTCTCTATTTTGATTTTTGAGTTTAAGGAAGCTTTAAGCTTCATATGTATGTAAAACTTTGGTTCAACCAAATGTATAAATAATTAATATCTTCTGAAAATCTGCACTTTTTGCCAAACACACTTTGATTATCGTTTTTTAATTAAGTTTAATATTTGTTTTAAAATATGACATCATTTCGTTTTTTTTAAGAAAAATCACCAAGAGTTATTGTAGTCTCATTACAAAAAATGTAAATAAATAAATTCAACTTTACCTTGGGATGGGTACAGCAACACGGCGTGTAAACGTTCTTGAGGTTACAATTAAACGTGATGATTTTAATAAAAACTCCATTTTTGTTGTTGTAATTTTTAATTAGTTATTAATAATGATTAATTATTTAGGTTTAAAAAAACGAATATAATAACGAAGTATTTAATACTTTTAGTAGGTCCTTGCAAATTGTGATTCTTAGGGAATCGTATTTTTTGTGAGTTTTTAATTACCAAACACAAAACACGTTAATAAAAAACGTTAATTTTTTAACACTGTATTATTGCATATAAAAAGTTAATTGGACCATATAAAGTGATATAGAAATTGACAATATCATAATGTCAAATAAACGATTTTGTGACAAATGTTCCTAAAATGAAATAAAATTGCATTAATAATTTAATTATTACTATTTAATTTAAATCTGTTACCATTGTAATGCCTTTATATGCTTATAAATTTAAACAAAAATTGCGGAAAATTTTTTAAACATTTAATATTTTTAAAAATTCATTGTGCTTTTGTTTCAGACACAACGACGTTAGAAATTAAACTAATGTCTGATAATAAATGTAAAGTTTTTTTTGCATGTTTCTATAAAACATCTGTAGATTATTAAATATTTTCCTATTATTTAAAATTTATTAACAAATCTTATCAGTCTTGTCTAATAAAAAAACCTAGACGATTTTTTAAATATTATAAATGAGATATTTTCTTATCACAAATTCATCTAACATTATCACTTGTCTCACTTACATTAATTGTAACTTCAAGGTCATTACAAATCACTCGTTTAATTGTACTTATCATTTAAAATACAAATGTATGTACAATGTCCATATGTATGATGGAAGTTAATTGCAAATTAATTTGCTAGTTTAAGCAGAAATTCTTAAAAGGGATCATTTGAGATAGCCCCACACTACTCTTTATTATAAAACTTATCGAACCACGATTGAAAATCTTTAATAGTAAAATCTTAAGCAAAAAGCATATTCATGAAACAACTGTGCAAACTTGTACACTTGCACAAATGGATTATTGTGCAAATATGCACAGTCAAATATATTACAGTTGTGCAAATAAATTCCTATTTTTTTGTGATAAATTAAGTGGAATGTTCAAAATGCACAAATTGCACAGTTTACGAAGCTATTGAACGTTTAAATGAAAACCCTTTAAATGTATATTAATTATAAAATTCATTCGTTCTAAAATCGTATAAAGTGTTAAAAAAAAGTAGGTTTATTTTCACGAAGGACTAAGCCAATGGCTAAAATCGGTCTATTTTTCATCTAGCTTCCATACTACTGAACCACATTAAAATGTTTTTTTTTAGCCCATAATTGTGTTGAATATGGTTGGGTGGTTTTATACTTTATGTATATGTTTAATACATATGGGGGAGTTCATGTCAAGTGCCCCAACTTTTGAAACATATGATATGTATGTAGTTTTTTACAAGCACTGATGACCCGGCTGATTTTTTTTTATTATGGACCAGGAAAATAGGTTGTGGAGGAAATAATTCTACACAAAATTTGTTCCTCATACGAACAGTGCGGCTGGAAAATGAATTTTCCTGTAATGTGTCGTGCGGTTCCCTGACCAATCTACCACAAATGGATGTATTCTTGAAGACGTGTGTTACGTAAAAATATACGGGTATCGGAATACGTTCTCTAATTTCAGAGGAACACATTCCATTGCAATAACGATAGAACAGTGAATAGAGTTGGATACGCGATCGAATAGCTCCACAATAGACTTCGAAGCTCCGGCCCATATGTGAGAGTTGTATATTATTTTCGAACGTATATAGGTTATGTAAATATTAAGGAGATCAGATGGAGTGAAGTATGTCTTACACCGTTTTATAAAACCGAGACACTTGAATGCTTCTTTCGATACTTGAGAAATGTGTTTTATTCAGTGGACACCTATTTCAGAGGAACACATTCCGGCACGATACAGAGTGCTGAAAAGGTTAGCTAATAGACGAGCTAGCGTCGAAGAGCGTTGCTTCAAAACCAGTGCCGGTATGCCATCTGGTCCAGGAGACTAGTTTATGTTGAGATTCGCTCAAACCTTTTTAACGACATGTACTCGAAAGATTATATTTGGCATAGTTACTGATACCCTTTCGAGCTCGGGCATTGGTTGATAGCTTTCCGGCAACAATAATTACTTGCGAAAACTCAACTACAAGGTTAGCTTTATCAATCGGCTCAGTGAATGCGTTTCATTTTGGACGTTTTTGTTATTGCGCCAAATTCTGAAAGCTAAATCTCTAGATTTGTTTGCGTTTTTGCACTTCCGTTTAATAGAAGTTTTTTTTATAGAATGAATGTTTTCATTCCTAGCATAATTATATTTTCGACCATTCATGACATTGACATTGAGAAGTTGTAAAGTTCAGAAAGCGAAAAGGAGGCAGAGATGGTCCAATGATCCCAATTTCCGAGAGGTGCAAGAACATCCACTTCATACTTGTCAAAGTGAGAAAAAGGTCGAGGGTATTATTTCGGTGCCATTCAACACTTGAAATATGGTTGGTTGGTTTATTCACTAATTGCGCAAGGTGATTGTGAACGGCGAATAACTCAACATATTGGCCAACTGGAGTTGTATGCTAGTATAATGTTATCTTTATAATTTATTGCATTGCCCTTGATATGACTTTCGAACAATTGAAAAAAGTCGAAAGTCGAACAGTCGAAAAATTACTTTTTAAATAAAAGACGAATTTTCAAAAATATAACACATACAAAATCAATTCAAAAATATGGACATTACGTAAATACTTTCCACTTTTTTCAGAATGACTCAATGGAGCATTGACATAATTTTGATCTTGTTGAGTTCTAGTTTACTGAAATCTAATTAAACTTAAGAAAAGTTGGAATATTCGAAAGTCGACTTATTGAAGATCTAAGATTTAAAATTCCTATTTTAATATATCAAACATTTAAATTCAGCTTCTTGAATGATTCGTTTAAAAGAACATTTGGTATAAAAAATAAATATAAAATTTTTTAACAAATCAGAATAACATTCGTAGTATCCCCGTTAAAATAGTTTAAGGTGTATTCATGTTTTATCAGCAATATCAATTGGAATATCAGAATTTCAATTGAACTTGAATCACAACAACAATAATAACAAAAATAACAAAACATAAAATCTAAACAGATCATACACAAATCTGAATTACATTTTTTGCGCACTTAAAATAATCGAATAAAATAGAAAAAATATATATACAATAAACTACCATGAACCATTAAAAATAATAAAATTGAAATTGTATTTGTTTCTAATCAATGATAAAATACATATTTTTTACTGTAACAAAACAATTGAAATTGTTTTAGAAAAAAAAGTTTAACTACAATTCAATAATTCTATAGAATGACCACAGCACAAACTGAAACTGAATTTAATAAAATCTTTAATGAGAGTTATGACGCAGATGTTCAAAATATTAAACTGTCGGTTATTTCCAAAACAACCAGTTTAAAAATCGTTTATGTTCAATACATGTTTGTATGCAATATAACAATTAATATATTGTAAATCATTTATGATTTATAAACATACAGATGTACTAAATACTTTGCTTAAAAATAAATATAACGAATAAGATAAAAATATAAATTTTTTGCACAATTACCTTACAAGGTAGAGTAGTAATTCGCGTGGTGGTTCATAGTCATTATCGTAGTACGGAGACACAGTGTCTAGAGTTTTGTGAGTCAAATTTTGTGTTGTAACGGCATCGGGCACACCTTGCACATCGTCTTTGCCATTATTATCATCGTCATCATCATCATTACATTTAACGCCAACATCGTTGCCGTCTAGACCAGTTTGTTGTTTGCCGTTGTCATCTACTCCTCCGGCAGACAAGGTGGTGGTGCTGATGGTGGATGCATGTGTATTCTCAGATTTATTTTCATGTTTTGTTGCCGCCGCTATTGCTTTAGCATTCTCCATTTCAATTTCCAGTTTACGAGCGGCCAGACGTTGTTTTATTTTTGATGTTGAGGTCATTGCCGAGGTCTTGGCAAGTGCTTCCGCAATTTCAAATTTCTCACGAAAATCCTTGAGCATTTTCAATTCGTGTGGATCAATTTGTATGTTTGTATGCGTTTCTCCTGCATCGTCGACATTAGGTGATAATTTGTTTAATGGTGATGCTGGTGGCACAACTATACTGGTCACTATGTCCAGCAATTCCTTAGGTGGTTGTTGCTTATCCAAATCCTCATCATCGCTGCTCATGTTGGCATTTTGCATTAAAATGTCGGTAAGAAATTTCTTACGCTGTATGGCTATATTACCGGGAGGTCTTAAGGGCAGTGCTGGTGGTTTAGTAGCCAATGGTAACATTTCCTCTTTATCTACACTCCTTACCGGTCGAGGAGGTAATTGTGGAGGTGTATCATAAATTTCATCAATAGGCTTCTCCATAGAACTCTTTACATATTCACTCAACAATTCTTGATTATTTAAAATCCTCTCAGATGGTGTAACCAAGCCTGCCAAACTTAGGCGCAAACGGCATTCTTCGGTACATAAACGTCTGCACATTTCATTTATAGCACTTGGCCGGGCGGTCAATTCAGTGGGTGCTGAGCCAACACAGGTCAAGCAGGGTGTATAAAATTTAGAATTTCCTATGAGAGAAATATATTCCTCTGAGTTGGACTTTCGACGATCTCCTTCTTGATCACAATCACCATTGCTGCTGCTGCATTCCGATACTAAGATTTCATAGTCCTGTTCTAAAATTTCCACTTCATCGTCAGTATCCAAATTTAGTAGCTGCTGCTCTGAGGAATTTTTCAAATTTTCAACATCACGATTGGGTGAGTTTTCATGTATGGGAAAGTACAAGGGCGGTAGCTCTTGTTGTGTTGGCGAGATATTACCTATGCCGGCATCGCTACGTATATTATCCGTTATTTGTAATCTAGACGGTGTATAATTGAGGAGTAGTGATGTTATTGGCATAGATTTTCCTAAAGTATCAGAACGTCGATGCCCGCGATTCTTTAGGGCTTCCGTGCCGAAATTATCTTGATGAGACTGCATTTTTGTATGTTTTAAGTTAGCGATTTATATTGTGGTGTATATTATATATAACTTTTTTCACTGGTTATTTTTGTAGCATTTTATAGTGAAGACGTTAATAATTTATTCCGAATTTAAAAATTAGTTTTCCATACTAAATTGTGCTCACTTTTTACAATTATCACACCATTGCTATTTCGCAACTCGTAAATGTTGTTTGCAATTTTAATTACATTAACTATTTGTAGACGATATACATATGTATGTATGTATAAAGCTTTTTTAAATTAAATATGTCATAGTACTCTAAAAAGGGATAATAATAACTCGATCCACTCTGATGTTTTTACCAAAAACAAATTTTTAACCCAGAGATTAAAATATATTTTTCTAAAGGATTGAGCTGCGCTGAATCCGAATATGAATTTCTCAATAACATCAAGTTGTCGAGATTTCGTGTGTTAAATTAAGAAAAAAGTGTTTGACCCTAAATGAGGAGTTGCAATAGCGCAGTGGCATCTTTATTTCTAAAGTTCTTTATGTCATCGGAGTCCAATCTCTCGACAATAAAATAAAGTTTTAACCTAAACCTTGGAGCAATCAAAAATTTCCTTTTTAGGACAAACTTTTTTGTCACTATTTGTCATAATTCAGTATTTGCTGATATATTCGATTGATACCTCAAAGAAGGAATAAAATTCTAAGGTTGTTGAGGTAGTCGGCCTGTGACCGGCTCACTTAGGTCCTAATGATCCCGTTGTGTTACACTGTAACGGATCCTGCGAAAAAACCCACCTATAGGACATTACATGTCCGTGTTTGACAACGAATGAACGATGTCTCCATATTAGAGTGGGCAAGTTCATGCAATCCTGATGTTTGTCCGGAAGGAGCGTGGGGACAGTAATCGATATTCCCTGGGATATAGGTCGTGTTCCCCAGGATAGAAGCATGACAATTCCGGTTAGACTTCCACACTCCAGCAGCGAGTTTAAGGCCAATTGCTTGGCCATCAGATTGGCGGGCAACCTGTACGTAAAGGTAAACTGCGCTTTTGTTGGCGTGCTACGAATCGCACCAGTGATCAATATGGTTGCAATAGGTGAATTTTTCCAAAGCTTTCACCTGACAATTGCACCCACCTTACATCAAAATAGACTTTATATCATGTCAAATATCAATTTCGCAGTCTTGGGACTAATGCCCCAATTCTTACGAATGGCTTTCGAGTAATAATTTAGAATCAAGAACGACACAAGAATAAAATTTTGCACTATCAGGGAGTGTAAGTTCTACTCCGTTTAGGCAAGGAAGAGGGAAGGAGGGAATCGTGTATCTATTCGAGAATAGAACATGCTTGGTCTTCCCAGGATTAACACTGAGTCTAATGTTGTAGCTCCAACGGCTCAGTCGCCTCAGTGATCGTTGCAGGTAATGCGAGATTGTTGTTAAATGTTTGGCAGAAACAGCAAGTGTTACTTACACCTCCTGGAATCTAATTCCATGAATTGATGGCAATAATACATAGGAGAGGTGATGAGACTCCTCATTGTGGAGTGCCCCGTTTAGCCATTCTATAAACAGTGGCATTTCCCATGGTAGAAATTATGATGAAATATAAAAGGTTGTAAACCTTTATTTTAAAATCGAAATTATATATGTAAATAAATAAAGGTGTCTTCGGCTTAAAAAAATTTAGAAAAAGATATCTCGAAAACCTTATATTGTGGAGAGATTAGCGCTACTCAATCCTTTACTATCTGGGTTTCAACTTTTTTCAATTGTTGTTTTACTCTGTAATTAACGGAACAACGATTCAATCTTTTTTCGATATTTTCCTAATTTAATTATTACTCGTCTAAACATTTATAATAAATTAATTTTTGAACTATAGAGCTGATGTGGTACGATTTAATATTATCCGATTTGGTACAAATAATCACCGATACTTAAATGAGCACAATTACTTCCTTTTTTTTATTTTTTAAGGAAATAATAATAGTCTCACTTTATATACATACGTATACAGCTTACGGAAAGCTAATTTTTTCACTGAACATACACATACTTAGATAATAAATATCCTTTAGATTTTTATATTTACAGATAAAGAACTTTAAATTTATTGTAGCTCTTAGAGAAACTCAAAAGAAGTTGAACACTATTAATTATTCGTTCATTACCGGTCACAATTTCAGTTATCATTTGCACACACTGATTTTTAAACAATTTTAATAGTTTACTCAAAAATATTTTAATTTAAGCATATCTAATTTTTTTATTGCAATTTTAGAAAATTAATTTTTTGTTGTATATTTATCATAATAAAGAATTATTTTATTTTCTTAATTATGTTTCAATTTAGTTGTTATGTATGTTTTTAATTATATTTGTCATTATTATTATTTTTTTGTTAATCTATGGTTTATTTTAGTTATTGTTTTTCACTTTTTTCATATATGAGTTGAAACTCCTTCCTGCTCCTCAGCTAATGGTACACGAACCATTACAGTAGATTTAAGTAAAGCGATTTTATATTTAAAAGTTATCATATTATTCAATCCAATAAAAAAGGAAATTTGATCTTAAAAACAATTATATTTGTGTTTATTTTGTTTATGTTATTGACGTCCAACTTGCGTTTAGAACATGAAACTAGTAAATCCGAGAGACAATAAGTGTTCCTTATTTATATGGCTAAAACCGAGGCTATCCACAATTTCACACACTCACACACATCCGTAAACATTAGTACACACTCCCAAACATATTTATAAAACCAAAAGCAGTAAACATTGTTTGGGTGAATGTAAGTATGTATGTATCAGAATGAATGGTGAGTGAGTGAGTAACTTGACAGCTAGTCAATATTATTGTAGTACAAATGAATAGTAAGTAACTGATCTACAAGTGCTTGCCTGCTGCCATACTTCCTTCCTTTCTTCCCTACTCTGCTCTAGTCTAGTCTGAAAAAAGCAACAACAGACTCAACACAATATTAACTTTACCAAACAAACATTATTTGGCCCGAAAGCTACTAAGCCAGTCAAAGAGTTAGACAGGCAGAGAGACAGTCAGTCGATTAGTCATTCAGTCTGCTAACCCACCAACCAATATTGCTTACACGCTAGTTTACAGTCTTCCGCCTTAGGCTGGCTGGCTGGTTAACTAACTGGCTGCTGCCTGACAGATTGACTTGTCTATTGGTTGTTTGGTTTGTTATTTTATTTTTATTTATTTGTTCAGTGACAAACAACAACAAAAATAGTTAAAATCTTTAGTTGTATTTTAGTAATAATAATAATAAAAAACTACTGTTTTAGAATTTAACTTTTATTTATTATTCTATTAAATATTTCATTTATGTTTTTGTTTTGTTTTCGATTTTTTTTTAATTTTGTTTTTGTTATTAGATAAATTAAATTAAAGGCAATCAACAATAACTTAATTAAACTAATAATAACAGAATATTTAGTTTATTGGATATTTTAAGTTTTTTAGAAAGCAAACGAATCTTATGCAGAATTAAAAAATTCTCAATTATAAAAATTTTTTGATCACTTTAGAACAGCTTGTTAGTTCTAGAACTATTAATATTTTCAGCGAACAATTGATGAAATATACCTACATACATGCCAGCAAAATTTGATGAAATGCTACTTGTCTAGATCTATTTTAAATCAAAGAAATCCGAAGAAATACCTTAACCAGTGCCTCAGGTGGAAATCGAACAAACCATCTCCGGTCTACTACACTAGAACTCTAACCACTTACCTACCGGAGACCACCATATATCTAGTTAATATCTACATTAATTTTTGACACCCAAGATGGAGAACTAAAACAAACTCGTTCCCAGGACTATTGGATCTTAGATCCGGAACGACCCGAGTCCCAATCGACCAAAGGTTGTTAACCTAGCGACAGCTTTTTTTACAAAACAACTATAACAAAACTAGCTATGCTACCGGTTCTTTTGGCAGTTCTAGGATCTATCACATTAACATCGCAATGTTGTAGGGCGTTAATACTTTCCCTAAAGGGCAAGTCTACAATAATATAATCTTTTTCAATAAAAATTTATATGGCGAATATAAAACAATATAGACAATATTTTTATAGTTTTAATTTTTTATAGAATTGTATTTAAAACCATTTAAATTACGAAAAAACAAAAGAGATTTTAGCGAAATTAACAAAGTATACTTGTCCTATCTAAATAGTACAAGCTCTTAGATAAGATTATGCCATTAAAATAAACTTTCCTAAAATAAATCAAAATTTTATTTAAAGTACTTAAGGTAATTGTTAATTTTCTATTTTAAACAAAAATTACATTTTAAAATGAACTTGATTTATTTTTTTTTTATTTTAATACCCAGTTGAAATTTATAATAAACTTAACACTGTCTATACACATGGTTTGTATATGCCAAATACGGAATGAATTTTAAATATTAATAAATTGATTACGTCCTACTTATTAATCATTAATACTTTAAATACACAGAGTAACCGATAATGTGATCTTAAAAGAATTTGATGGATGTAAAAGAAGACTTTTTCGCATTTACAGCGGAACGCGAATAATATCTTTTGACATATTTTTGATTGCCCTGATTTTAGATATAACTATATACATATGTATGATGTAGATAGTCGATTAGAAATTGGTGATCTTGTTTGCCATGTATGTAAGTAAATAAAATCTTATTCATACTTTCTTTATTGTTATACCATACACCACTATAGTGGGGAGGGTATTATACGTTTGTGCTGATGTTTGTAACGCACAAAAATATTGGTCCTACACCCACCTTAAAGTATAGTCTGTCCATGTAAACCTTGTGCGCAAGGTACAGGCCGCAATTTTCAAGATATTTTGATGAAATTTGGATCATACGTGTTTTTCGGCCCAATGACGAAGCCTATTGAAAATGGTTGAATCGGTCCATTATTTCACCTAGCCCCCATACAACACTACCCCCGGAAAGGGCTTTTGAATTCATAATTATGTTAAATATTGTAGTATCTCTACAAAAATCGGCAAAACTTAGTTCTATATACGTCTTAATAATACTACCAATTTTCATAATTATCGGACTTTATTTACAAAGTCCCCTTCAGAAAATGACTTGAAGGTCAATAATTCATTAATAAACGCTAGTATCATGATTAAATTCAGCATATATGACTCTAATGTAAACGTAAAG